TATCATGAATGCTGGGTCTTGTTTGTTTTCTGAGAATCTACTGCACCTACTGGTAACTTGTTTGCCATGTAGCAATAAAAAATATACTACAAACCTGGATTATTCTGGTTAGTCACATTGTACTGCTATTATTTTGAACAATACTGTATAACTGTCTTTAAAAACCAGTTTATCAAGCAACCAAGTAAATTTACATTTAAAGGAAAGTCCTCAAAAAGTGTGTGTATATATGTAAATACACTGCTCAAAAAAATTAAGGGAACATATCACACATTGAATCTTGATGAACAAATTATTCAAGTTGAAAACCTTTACTAATGTACATTGTATAAGTTGTTCAGAACAAAATAACATAACAATGGTCAATGGAAATAACCCGTGGAGGGCTGTATTCAAAATCACACTTAAAATCAGTATGAAAAACTGAAATCAGAGGCTCATCCAAGTTATGTGAATTTCATCATGGTAGCTAATAATGTGACTCAGCTGTGGGTATGGCCCTTGTGTGTCTGTATGCTCTCCTGACAACTTCTGATCATGCTACTGATGAATCAGCAGAGGATGTCCTGGGGTATCTCCTCCCAGACCTGGATCACAGCATCACTGCACTCATAGACATTTTAAATTTTACTGTTTTTTATTTCATTAATTTACTCATCTTTTCCATCTAACTCACAATTAACTTATCTGCTTAAAAAGAGCCTGTTTCTATTATGTCCTCTCTTAAATTGAGAGATATGCAAGCACCACATTTAAACCTCTCATTGATCAGCTGATACTGTACAAGAGGCTGTTTCTCATCAGGCCTCAACTCCCAACACCCACTTACAGTATTATTATTTTTGGTGCACAATGATCTTGCATACACACAATTTCAAAAGGCAGCCCTGTGTCCTAAACATCAGCTTTATATAAGCCAGTAACAGTTGTTCTTGGACACTGTGTGTGACTGCCACCCAAAACTGACTGATCCAGCAGGGTCAGAAAGAGGATAACACAGTACTCCTCTGTTTGATCATGAAGGGTAAGGGTAAAGCCCAGATTTTGAATGCAAAGTTTGACCATCTGGCCTCATAAACAAAAAACAGACTCTGACTCTGACAAAAAAATGCCTATGCATTTAGCTCTACTTACATTTCCTGAGTAACGTATGGTTTCATTTAAGAACAGTGGTTAGAAGATGTATATTTTTAGGCCACTTAATACATTCAGCCGGCTCGATCCACTACCACCTGCCACGCTTGTTCTTGCTGTTTTATTACAGCGGCTGTGTTTCCATTTTTACAGATTATGCACTTGAATTCCCCATAAGCTTCCTGGACTGACATGTTGTAAGAATGGCTCTTGATGAGAGCTTTGCATCTCCTGATTTTAATTTGTCTGGGACAGCTTAAAGAAAGATGGTTTGTGACAATAACAGCTACTGTTGTTTTACAAACAGCCTTATTTCAAACTCACACTGCCACAGTGCCAGTGGATTCATTTGCATAGCATTTATTTCTGCTGTCAAGAAGGATGAAGATCTGTACAGAAAGTGAGCAATATCATTCCTTTCTTTCTTTTCATGTGTTTACCAAAGCAATAATTATCTCATCAACCTTCAGAAAAATAATTTTCTGCTTAAAATATGTGATTGTGACTTTTTCCTTTCACTTATGCACCAAAGGAAAACATTGATTTCATGTAACAATTGCTAACTAACACTCTGCTGTATTCAGTTCCATTTCACGGACATCTGGAAACAGTTCAATGAATGTAGTCAGGTGTCAGAGTAGCTACATTCAATAACTCATGGGATGTTCCTTCAGTTTGTATGGAGCAGAAGGACAATTAATGTCTTTCCAGGGGTTGTGTCACTTGGGATCAATACGAACAAGTTGCAAATACGAGTCAGAAATAGTAAAAATACGCACAACTTCTTTGTTACTGGGACAGTCTGAGCTGATCTCATTAAATACAATGCATCCAGAAAGTATTGACAGCACTTACCTTTGTCCACATTTTGTAAGGTTACAGCCTTATTCAAAAATGGATTAAATTCATTATTGTCCTCAAAACTCTACAAACAATACTCCATAATGACAATGTGAAAAAAGCTTGTTTGAAATCTTTGCAAATTTATTTTAAAAAAAAATCACATGTACATAAGTATTCACAGCCTTTGCTCAATACTTTGTTGAAGCACCTTTAGCACCAATTACAGCCTCAAGTCTTTTTGAGTATGATGCTACAAGCTCGGCACACCTATTTTGGGGCAGTTTCTCCCATTCTTCTTTGCAGTATTGCTCAAGCTCCATCAGGTTGGATGGGGAGGGGTCGGTGTACAGCCATTTTCAGATCTCTCCAGAGATGTTCAGTCAGGTTCAAGTCTGGGCCACTCAAAGATATTCCCAGAGTTGTCCTGTAGCCACTCCTTTGTTATCTTGGCTGTGTGATTAGGGTCTAAGTCCTGTTGAAAGATGAACCGTCGCCCCAGTCTGAGGTCCAGAGCTCTCTGGAATAGGTTTTCATCAAGGATGTGTCTGTATATTGCTGCAGTCATCTTTCCCTTGATCCTGACTAGTCTCCCAGTTCCTCCCACTGAAAAACATCCCCAGAGCGTGATGCTGCCACCACCATGCTTCACTGTATTTGCCAGGTGGTAAGCGGTGCCTGGTTTCCTCCAGACATGACGCTTGGCATTCAGGCCAGAGAGTTCAATCTTTGTTTTTTC